ACTTATCAAAGTGTTTCCACTCTCATGAGTTCCTAAATACTGATCTCAGTTCCTAAATATTGTTTCAGTGCCCCTTTTCTTTGATAATACTTTGAATTGATTTTTTTTTTCTCAAAACACAACATCCTTGAACTTAAAGATTTCTTCCCGCTGTAGAACTACATTTCACACTTGCCTGCTTTATACATTCATTCACCTTTTTTTTCTCCTCACTTTCTGAAGAACACAGGGACATGGATCTCTTTGGCCTGGAACAGAGGAGAAAGAGAGCAACTCATGTTGAATTAATTCAAAGCTTCTCCAGGCATCAACATGCATTCACTAGTTATTCTTTTGATGCATTTTAAAGGCTGTATTTCAGAGCATGCAATTAAAGGTGAACCCTGCTTCAGGGAAAATGCCAGTTTTTATCGGCTCAATTAAAATTTGGAAGCTGTCTTGGAAGGGAAGAGAATCAAGGTGCATGTGGCTGAGTTGCAGTGTGTGTGTGTGTGTGTGTGTGTGCGTGTGCGTGCATGTGAGTGCTCACTACAAAGACCTCTGAACTCGTGTTGGAATGATCACAGAAACTGTCATACTTTTCAAGTCAACATTTGATTGCAAATCACAAATTTGATCTACGCTCAGTGCATCTTTTTGAATGTGACACTTTTCAGATGTCTTATGCATCAGAAATACGGAATCTGTGCTATTAATCTGAACTATACATGCCTATAGTCCTCTCTTTCCATACCCATATATATGTGTGTTTGTTCAAGATTATATAAACTAAAAGCAAATCCTACAAGTTCCAAGGTGCTTTACTTAAATATGACCTTTAATAGTCTCTGTTTATATGCACATACATACTACACACTATACGGTGTGAGAGTGATTAGCTATGGTGACTGGTGCTGCTGTATTGAGTGTCGAGATGGACACTGAATGAAGTTTGACATTTTTATGGTATTTTGGGACATTGTAAGACTTTTTTTGGACAAAACGACCCAGAAGTCTCTGGCCCGACACAAAACCATTAAATCTTAATCCCTTCGCCAACAGGGCATGCCTTTTTTTTGCGTTGTTGACCATAGCTGATGTTTTCTGCCAATGAGGAAATTAAAAACTTTGTAGAGCACCTTTCAAGCATTAGTCACACTAGTGTCTCATACCCAAAAGATGGATTTTGGGGGCTTAATGGTGGTCGAGTGGTTTAAGGCTCGTACTGTATATCTGCACGCCAGGATGTCCTTATATAGACCCATTTTCACTTACAGACATTTTGACTTGTCAAAGCATGAAAAGCTCAGGTGTAAATATTAACATTAACAATAGCTCCATTCCATTAAGTGTCCCAGTAAGCCATGTCAGTGATTGAGCATGCACAAGGCCTGGAACTGGCTCACCTAAATGGAATGCAGCCATCATTAATGTTGTTAATTCCACCTGTGCTTTTCCTGCTTGACAAGTCAAAATGCCTGCTGTGAAATGGGTCTATTGAATCCAGCGGGGGGCCTTTGTTGCATGTCATCCCTCTCTATCCCACGTTTAGGAAACTTATTTTAGGTGGAGTGTATTAGCCTCCAGAGGAAGGTTACCCAAGAACATGTTCTCACCTATTTAAAATTAAGGAATCACATGTTATTACTTACTAAACTTCTTTGTTTCCTGACACACTCATAGCATTGAGTTGGATATTCCCATTTTACTGCTCATCGGTGTGCACAGACCATAGATGGTTGTATAATAAATCTGCAAGTGTAAAATCCCAGACATTTTATCTATATATGTACATTTGTGCACAAATCCAGCTGAACGCCCTAAATCTGCTTTTTGACACACCCCGTTCTCTTCCTGTTATTCGTCTTCTAGCTCTGATAAGTGAGTTTATTTTGTCTTCATTCCAACAGACACTTAAATCAGCTCTTTCTTTTACCTTTCATCAACTTTACCTCCATGTGCCCCAGCAGAAAGTACTGTACGTATGATCTCAATCTCACTTTATCTCGCTTTCTTTCTTTCTTACTTTCTTTCCTTCTTTGTTTCTCACTTTCCCCCCCTTATCTCTCTCATGCTCACTGTCCCAGACCACTTGACAAACTGTATTTTCATGCCCCGACCTTGGATAAAGCGGATATTAATATGAGCATAACATCCTGGGTGGGAGCAAGGGCGAACGAGTACATACAAGGACAGCGTAATTCAGAGGGCAACTATGGCAGAGAGGGGAGGGGGTTCTAACAGAGATTTGTAAGACTACTTTTGTTCTTTTCTGGTGTGCTGTGTGAATTTTGACAGTCTGGAAACCAACCGTGAGTGTGCGAGAGCTGCTGATGACTCAGCGGGTGTTAAAATAACAAGGGAAAGGTTGTTTTTCCCACTAATAGTCCCATGTTTCTTCAAATGAGGTATGACATTTCTTCATTTGTTTGCTGCTACATAGAATTAATTACAGTTGCTAATCAAACAATGGGCCCTTTTCTCATCTGTCCCAGTGAGATAAACAACCAGCTGTTTGTGCTACAAACACAAACAACAGCACTGAGGCTAGCGCCACTTGTAGCAACAGTCGATGTAATATAGAGAAAGCTGTTGATAAAGCACACTTAGTGATGAACCTCGGGCTTTACGTCATTACTTTCCTCTTCACCATGGCACCAAAATTGGCCCTGCTAGGTTCAGAGTGGCAGTAAACTCTGCCCCGGCCTTTTTCCATAACAATGAATGTGTGTGTGTGTGTGTGATTCACTGGAAGCAGCTTGTTTGTGATTGTGATTAGTGTGTAGTGCATGCTAGAGAAACCGTGTTTTGTTAGGAGGAATAAGGTTCTTTATTAACGTTCTTTTCATAATAAATGGGTATATGGTTGCAGAGATGGATGTTTATGATGTCTGAGATGGTAATGTTACAACGTGCAGCAACGAACGAGAGCCCTACTCATAAAGCAGAAAACTTCAGCCTCATCCGTGCTGTTCTTTTGCTGTGTGTCTTATCCTTACCTCTTCATGAGTCATAAATAAAAATGTTATGCCCTTTATAAGCTTATTAAAAGCGTTTTGACATTGTGAAGGTTGCAGCACTTCATAAACCTTACACCTTAAGTCAGCATGTTTTTACACTTGTAGATTCAGTCAAACAGAAGGTTCCAGCATTTATTCATAAATTCAACTAATAAAAAGATGTGTTAGTGCATTGAAGTCACTGATTTGAATGCAGTTTGTTTTATGAATTAAAAGGACCACTTTGCGTCAAACAGTGTCATGGTCTATTAGTCAATAAAGTATATTTTATTTCAGTGCTGCTACTAAGTTATTTTAATTATCAATTAACCCGTTGATTATTTTTTTATTAATTGGTTAGTCTATATATAAATATATATATATATGTATATAATGTCAGAAAACAGCACAAAAATAAATGAATTCTCATTACATCCCAGAGACTAATCTTTAATTTGCTTGTTTTGTCCCACCAACAGTCCTTATTTTTTGTGATAAATAAAGATTATGATTTAGAACACAGAGATTCATAATGTTATTAAACATAGAAAACCGAAACCAAATTACTAAAGCAAGAAATTCATAATCAAAACTACACACTTATTTCAAAATCATCATGTCACCAGCACCTGGCAATCTTGTATAATATGAGATGCCACCATAATCACTCTGAAGGTTTTGGGATGTGAATCAGTTGCCTTCTGCTATATGACGATTCCAAAATAACATGTATTTATGTGACAAAACCTGTTTTGAATATGGCCTATAATCTCTCTATTAGCAGTTAAAGCAATAATAATATCAGTCACGTCTAAGGACATTCTCATGCCCTATATCCCAGTGTTCCGGATTAGAAAGGCATTGAGTCAGGGATTAGCGGAGGGAAGAATAAAGGCTTCCTTGGACAACAGAGGAGGGAGGCAGGGGCTAATGGATCAAGACCCTCTGAGTACTTGCACACACACACAAACACAGTCTTTCATGCAGATTCAGACGCTCATCTTAAAGCTACTTAACCCTACATAAGAGGTGACATTCCGTAAACAGTTTTCCAAGAACTATCCAGTTGAAGCAGCAGCAGTTGAAGGTGACAGAATTTCCCCTCTGACCTCCAGGCGACCGTATGCAGTCTTAACTTGGTGTGTGACTCGGAGGAATTTCTCTTTTTCTCTCTTGCTGCGGCAGTTGTCTGCATCCATGCATGTCGTGTGTTATAATCAGATAAACAGTGTGTATCCAGTGCATTGCAGTAAAGGATGAAACAACAATTTGGGTGTCGGATCGGGTTGGGGTCTCAACTTTGGAGGTGCTATTCAGATTCATTGAGATTGGGTTCTTGGGGTCTCAGTTCCAGCTAGCGCTCTCTGTATCTTATCTCTAACCCCAACTGGTCGAGGCTGACGGCCACCCACCTAGAGCTGGGGTCTGTCCGAGGTTTCTGCATCTTGAAGGGGAGTTTTCCCTTGCCGCCATCGCCAAGTGCTTGCTCATGGTGGGAACTGTTGGGTCTCTGTAAATAATTTATAAGGAGTACAGCTAGACCTGCTCTATTAAGTGTCATGAGATAACTTTTGTTATGAATTGGCGCTATACAAATCAAACTGAATTGAATTGAATTGATGAATAGCTTGCCAGCTTCATCCCTAAAACCCTTTGAGAGAATGCATAAATCTTTAAGATATATTTCTAAGACTCTCATGAGGCGTTTTGTTGACAAGACCTAGATAAATTCTTTCCAAAAATGAAAGGAAGTGATAGCATGACTTTTTTATGATAGAGACAGCTAGGGCGGCAACGAGTGCCTTCTCAGTGCAAATATCTTGTTTTGTCCGGCCAACAGTCCCAACTGATATTCAGTTTACTATCATAGCGGACCAAGAAAACAAGGGAATATTCACATTTGAAAAGTCAGAACCAGTCACCAATGAAAAATCGACATAATCTTGAATTTTCTGCTGATAAACGAATGGTTTCGTCTGTAGAGACAGTGTAATCTAACTGTGTCCTTTTGTTCTCTTCCAGGCTGGATCCCACTCCACCCTCCGTGCCCTTGAGACTGACATCCACCGCCAGCCCCGGCCCTAGTGCCTGCAGATTTACACCAACAGGACCTCCAACAACCTTCCATATCCTGCAGTGTCACAGCAGCCTCGAAGGGGGGCGACTCCTTCTGGAGACCCCACTTCCTCCAGAAGCCCCAGGGACGGGACCATGTTTCACTGACTGACCCCTCCCGACCGGCGAATGACAAGTGTGCATCCGAGGGTGGGGCTTGCCTCAGTCTCTCATGATTGGCTGCTGGATGGAATTAAGGTGAATGGAACACGTTCCCGAGGAGCAGGACCCTAGCCCATCAGAGGGAGAAGAGAAACGGTGAGTTGGATATAGTTTTTCCCTCTTAGAGGCAATCCAATCCTCCACTGCTTCAATTTCAAAAGCCTTTTATCAGCTCCTCCTTTACATTGTCTTTCCTGATGTAAAAATATCCCCGAAGTGAAGCCGGCATGGCTGTTTTTGATGTGTAATGTTATGTATGGATGAGGTTTTTTGAGGACAACCAAAAGGGAATCTTTATTTTCCCGTCTCTCTTTTATCGTCTAAATCTTTCTCATTGTGCTCTCTGTTTTTAAGTCTCTGGGACTTTTTTTTTCCAGACAAGCTAAACAACGTGGCCTCTTTTTCCTCCCCGCCACTCTCTTCCTCTCGTCTGAATTGTTTTCAGAGAACTGGGCCTATAGCTACATCTGACCCCCGACGCTCCACCCCCTTCATTTCTTGAGAAGCAGAGCCAGTCAGACCGGCCCGAACACAAACAAACACAGCACTGTTTAAGCCCCTTCTCATTAATGAAAACATAATATTAGTGGAATGGAGCCTCTCTCATAGTGCTGTTGCTGGAGGAAGGGGGCCTCTGTGTGGAACAGGCCTCTGGGTAAAGGAAAAGGTTATCAGTCAATATCAATCTGCTTTGGTTTTGAGACAGGAATTCAGTTCATTTACAAAATTCTGTGATAATTTTAGGGGACCTTATTTCCTTCAAAGATAAATTATTAGGTTAACCTCTCTGTCTGGGAACACGTGAAGTTGTAATGCTGATGACTTGTCACCACCACACCATGTGTTTTGAAGTATAAATACAGGTCGGGTGTTTGTGTCTTCAGAAAATAAGTGTAGGAAATTCACAGAAGCTTCTGTTTAATCAGATTATGTTTTCATTTTGTATGTGAGGAAGTAACACTGCAGGCAGCATTTTTGCCAAACGTATATTTACATTACTGAAACAAATTTCCTTTTTGCTAATACAATTTTTAAAATAACAAGTGTTTGCATTATGGACAATCATGCAGTCAAAAGAGAAACATTTGAGCAGATTTATTGTCTGATTATTTAGTTAAAAAAACAAAGCACTTCAGTTTATGACATATAGTATTTAGCACTGTCAGGTGAAGAAGTAAGAGGATAAGAAGAGCACGTGAAGGCAGCACTACCCATAGGTTATTAATGTCATGTGTTTGAATGACTCCTGATCTCCAGAACCTTCCTGAACTTTTCCACTCTAAAATCTTTTTTAAAATGTCCCTACAATTAAACTTATATGCGATAACAGCAATATGAGTGTATGTTATTATGACCATGTGGAAGGACTAGCTTGCTGCCTAGAATGCAGCATCCGATTCCCCACCCTTGTGTCTCCATGTGGCACATTACAAACTTGTGTTAAGAAAGTCAAGCCAGCAGAGCCTGGATAGATTCCTCAGCACATGGACACCTGTCAGGAGATTAACAGCTCTGCTGCACTGGGTCAGGGGCAGTTGGCGTGGTCATGGATGTAGGAGCCAGTGCACAAGCGTTCCTCTTTCATTTGACATGTTCGGAGGTGTAAGCATTCTGTACATCTCTGCTTGTGTTGCAACACCTGCACAAAGTGCTGGCTGCAGCGCTTTGCACCTCACGGATAATTAAAAGCACAAGGAAGAAAGCTCTCTGGGCTTCAGACTGGAGCAGTTGCTACTTAGAGTAGATCATCAGTGGGGTGTTCGGCATGACAGTAGATTAAATCTCTGTCCCTCCCTTCTGCATGTTGCCATCCTGTTGTTTGGAACTGGTCGGGCTTTTTGAAGTGATGCTATGGTTACCAACATGCAGACAAAGAGTGGAACACCTGTACCTATGGATCGGAGATATGCACTCAACACATTTTCATTTGTTTTAAACATAAATGTGAAAGATTCTTTGACAATCAAACATTAAAATAATGTTATATATTTAACATATTGCATTTCATTTAGCGCAATCACTTCCTTTTTGATTTTTTTTAGCTGCTAAAACCAGAAAGGTTGATGCTATCTTGTGTGAATTTGCTTCATATTTAGGCTTGATAGCTCATTAGGATGCATACATTCTTTATGCTATGCTGGATTTAGTTCAGATGTTGATATTTAGTTGCAGCTTGCCTCACTTCTACTGGCATGTCACCACAGCTGATGCAAGGTCGCTTGCAATGTGTTGCATTAACAGAGCCAAAGACTTGCGCCATAGTGTTTCATTGTTTCTGCATCCATGAATCTTTGTTGTTCAGGAGGCCTGTTTTCAACCACTGATCTGAGACCCTCCAGTCAAGCAACTGTGAGACCGGAGCAGCTTTTCTTTCAGGACTATACAGATAAACTCAGTGACAATAAGTGATTCTACTGATTTAGTAGCATTTTTACATTATTTCTCTGTTGCTCCCACTTTCCTTTTTTTTTTACCATGTTAGACATGATATCAGTGCTCATTGGAATTTCTTTCACCACAGGTATGAGCTGTTTCACTCAGCTGTAAAAAGCGTGAGATGGGTGATAATCACTCTGAGTATCTGTATCAGGGAACAGACTCAAATTTGTTTGTGCACCCAGAGAGAGGAAAGATAAATCTACCATACATAAATTCACACATGTAGAGGGACAGAACTATCTAATAATTTGCATCTCGACACACTGGGAGAAAATATATTTTTCCAAGCCACATATGTATCTAAAATGTAACATTACTTTGTTCTCCAGTGACATAAAAGTCGGTCAGGCCTCGCTGTGTTTCCTTCCTTACAGATTACCACAGCCCTTGTCTCGGTGTTGATCAGATTCTTTCCCCTGCCATGCTACAGTGCATTATGTTTGTAGTAAACAAGATTCAGCTTTTCCTTCCCCTGGACGTGATGACAGGATGTCCTGTCATGCCTGAGTTTGACTCCTTGTTAATAGCACTCTTGCTATGGATTTTATGACTTGTTACATAACAGTTTTTTTGTCTGTTAGGTATTTATATACTCAACGAATGCCTTCAGGTTGAATAGAATGGGAGTTACTGTACATACCGGTATTTCTGTAAGTTGATGAAAGTGTATTGTTTAGTGTATGGGTGTGTCTGCACAGTATGTGTTAAGTGCATACATAAACCCATAACATGAATTGTTGTCCATTGTTGGAGATGGAACTGGTGATTATTTTCATACATTTTGATCCTTTAACCTCATCTTCACCTCACCTCAGATCACTGCAACCTTAGTTAACATGAAAGTGTACCTCTGGTTAAACCTGTTGAGCCTAAAAATCAACAATTTCCACTAATGTGAGAGAGAACAGCCGATTACTGGCAGGATTTTGTATGTGTGTCAGTGTCAGTCACCTAATCAGAGTAATTGACCGAAACGCTGCCAATTTCAGTGTTCTCCTGCAGGAATCTCAACGGCAGTCCTAACCGCTGTGGCAACATTAACTGAAAACTGTCAAACAAATTAAAGCTGATTTCTCCCCCGACCCTCTCCCTTTATAGATAAAAAGGACTCTTTCTAAGACAACAAAAACAAACCTTTTAATGGTTGTCCAGTTATAGAATAGAATGCAATTTATAGCAAAACGCACACAAGATTTGCATTGGGAATGTGAAACAAATGCAGCTAAATGCAGACTTAATGTAGTAATTTAGTCTATACAGTCCTATTTTTAAATTCTGTTGTACAGGATGTACCAAGCTGTATATATTTGCGGATTTTGCTCCATGTTTATTATTGGTCATGTGTGGGTTGCTGTGTACTTGGGTATTTGGACAGAGGGAGTTGTCTTGCTTTCACTTAGTGGCATGCGATATCCCCTTGTAGCTCAGCCTGTAATTTAGACAGTGGCGGGACACATGAGGGAACAAAGTGTCCATTAGCACTGGATGTATAGGACGGGACAGACCCAGCTATAGGCCTGTACCATGCATGTTAAACAATAGGCTACTGTGGCCCAGTAAACATAGGACAGGGGGCCTCATTCAGATGCTGTTATGGATATAATTCTCTCTCTGAGTGTCTTTGTATTGTCTAAGGAGGAAGAGTTTCAAAGCAGGTGCTTCTTAGTCTTCCATTAATGACCTAAAGGGTCAGTTCAGCCAGAAAACAATAAACATGTTTTCTCACTTACCTCAGTGAACTTGCCTTCAAGGGATAAGGCTAGCAATATTCCATATTTTTCAACAATTCCCATTAAAAGACCAAAACCAACTTGACCTACTAATCGACCCAGCTAACAAGTATAATATTGTGTGTGTATCAAAGCCTGATAAATCTTACAGTATTCTTCTGCACCAGAGCCCCATTGTTGTGCAAAAACATACTAAAAACACATCAGTGAGTCACTCTGAGTGACACGTTCCTTCATTACCATGAACACACACCGCATTATTTTGATTCAGTCCAACACACGTGTATTCAGTCACATCGGAATATTGTCCCCAATCAAGTAACTCTTTGAGTAAAGTTTGATATTAAATACACCGGCATGGCTGTTTTTGATGTGGACCAGCTGTAGCGGGAAATGACTGGGCCCTTTTTTTAAAATGAAAGTATATATTTGTGGACCTGGGACACCGCTAACCACCTCTACCAGGAAAACCCTTTTTATTATATTTTTATTGTATTGTATGTATGTTATAATGTGTGTTTTGCCCTTCTGTTTTGCTATGTCTCACTAAATATAAAAATAAAAGAATATAAAAAAAGGTTAAACACATGTTGGTTTCGATATTTTTATGGGATTTGTTGAGGAAACGTATTGTGTGCCAACTTAGGGCAAATGATCTGGTCTATTATCTCTTAATAGCGTATTGCTGGAGCGTTTATGAAACCTGCACCGTCTTCAAGTCATCAAGTGTGCTCAGTTAGCTGACAGCCCAGCAATTACCTGTTTGACACACCCCGCAGACAATGTCAAAGCCACAGGTGGAGACACTGGCTGTCCTCCAATCAGGGTAGGCTGGGTGGTACTACCAGCAGAGCAAGAAAGTCCCACAGATTGGAGAAGAGGGAGGGAGGGAGAGGCAGAATGCATTCGAGTGGGTCAGCAGGCTAA